GAAGGGTCTAGGCCCGAAACGTCAGCTTTCCTGCTCCTCTGATGCTGCTTGGCCTGCTGTGTTCATCCAGCTCTGCACCTTGTTATCTCAGATTCTCCAGCATCTGCAGTTCATACTATCTCTCCATAAACTATTGCTGTTTTACATCATCATCTAGTTGATCAATGGTCATTGTAACTTGCAGCTACAAAAATCAAGCTACTCAGGCTACCTCTCATTAGTGACCTGCTGAGTTTCAGCAGCAATTTCATTTTTTATGTCCACTCTATTCACTGATCATTACTTGCAAACATGGCAAGCTGCCTGGCTTTCTGTCTACACTAAAAGACAAGGAAAGGCAGAAGGACTATGAGGCTGGTAAGTTCTGAATGAGGGGATAAAACACACAAAGTCAAGGCAAAGGAAGGCAGAGATGCTGTGAGCACTCAAGTAGGCACAAAGGAAGTGAGCACTAGGAGAGCAAGCAAGGAACATTGAGATGCTGTGTGGTTGAATTCATGAGGTAGGTGCTGTCCCTACATGCAAAGTGTCATAGCAGCACTATTGCAATCCTAGATATTGGTGCACTCCAAAGTATAGCATTGTAATGGAAAACTGTATTGTGAATGGGTCAGAGATGTGCCATGATGATATGGTGCAGCTGGTATGTGTCCGATGCCAATCTCTGTGCATGGTGGGACGGAAGAGGGATGCAATCGCTACCCTTGGAGAATCCCTGATTTATTGGGGACTACTGTCCAAGATAGGGGCCTGAAGAAGCAAGTAGTGAGCTGCAATCTTCAAGTACCCCTTCTGACTTTGATTTTGGTAATTGTCACTGACCCATTTCTATCGGGCATGGAAGAGAGTAGAAAAACACATTTCACTGAGATGATACTGGGACATAATGGTGTGCAAATGGGTGTAAATAGGTCTCTCACCACTCACCACTGTCACTGAACTATATCAGTTGTTGGATCGGGATCCATGGCCTGAAGGATTCAGTGGCCGTCAAGGTAATGGCTGCACGAAACCTTTTGGCAACTGGCAGCTTTCAAGAATCTATATGGAGACCTATTTGGGATCTCACAACTCTTGACCAACAAGTGTTTGCTGTACAATCCTAACATGTTATAAGCAAGCAAAGCAGAATGTGATAGATGCTGAAAAGCTGGGAGAACAACGGCAGTCTTCCAATAAGGAAGATAAGGACATTGAGGAGGAGGAAATGCAACAAGCCAGACAGGACTCGATTATTACCTGGTTCCAGTAGATATGAGCTGGGGACAGTGATCAATCATTAACTGTAGACTGTTTACAGTCATAAGGCAAGTGATCCTGTTTATTCTCAGTAGCAAATGCAGCATTTCTTTGTTTACTGTCACCTTTACTGTTGCTAAACAAAAATGATCATTTTAAACTGAAAAGATGTTGGACAACAGGGAAAGAATAGCACACTCTTACTGTTCTAAGATGGTATGATGTTAAGGATCGATAATCAGTATAGGTTAGTTTTTAAATACCAATACACTTACAGATGGGGACTTGTATTTGGAATGAAATGGTAGCCATGCCACCTATGAACCCCTCTCATTACATGCACCGTGAAAGGTAACTCCTGGCTGGCAGTGCTGGACCAGGTGTACAGCTGAGCCTTAAGAATGGGGTTCTGGCAATGCAGACTGATTTCACCATTGATGACTGGAAGATAGAGTGAGCAAGACACCATTTAGGCATAGAGCATAGCTACTGGGGTGAGCTGGGGAGAACAGTTCAAGAAAATTGCTAGGAATCACAGTGAGAAACACTCCATGAAACTCACTAAAATCGACACAGCTGATTTCTAGTAAAATTCAGCTTATTCTTTTTCCTTCTGGAAAAGCTGAGAATGCTTTATGAGTTAAATGTTGTTATTCCATGATTAAAATGCATCACTTTCACTTTAAAATGATCTGAGTTGCAAAAATAAAGTTACATTTCCATAGTTTAACTGAGGTCAATAACTTAATTAGGTGTCATAATATTTTTAGCCTACACAGCCTTAACCTCATAGGAGTCTGCAAATCTGTATCTCCACTTTAATTATCTGATGAATTGTTGTTCTTATCTAGGTCAAATTTTACTCATGTCCGTTATATATATCAAGGTTGTTGGGATTACAGTGTTAAAAGACAAGATACTGTCCTTGCCAGCTTATTCTCAAAAGACCCAACATTAACCTAGGATGGGAATCCAGCAAAGCAAGGATCAAGGTGGGGGTGGGGAAAGGTTGGATGGGTCAATAACCTTCCTGACCTCAGCTATGTGAGGTCTGGACAGTTTTAACTCCCAGGCCTTTGTACATTCCCAATGCATTTCCCATCTAACCCTACCAGGAAACAGCAACTGGCTGACAGCAGGAGACAAGTGCCAAGGTCACCCGGCACTCTAGTAAATCAGGAGAGGATTTCAGGAGGACCTATAGGGAAAATAAAATAAACTACCTCTTCTTCCCCCTTCTAACTCCTACACAACCCTCCTGTTAGGTTGAATTGGTGGGGAAGCCACAACCAGTTCCTTGATCATGGCCATTGTTTAAAGCAGTTGTTCTCTAATTACATTATCAGAGTCTAATCTGCAGATTTAATGAATGACCATGCTGCCTTTCTGTTGGGCAGTCTTCCTGCTGCTCAGAAGAGCAGTTTCAAACAGACATGAGTGGTGTTAATTGCCCATCTGTTCTCGTTTCTGCCAGATGAGCAGGTTTAATATCATCGCACAAGGTATCTGGAACATGACTTTGTCCTTCAAATTCTGGAAATCACAGAGCAGTTAGAAAGATACAGAAAATCGTTTCACCATCTTGCTATGGTTTAGGAATCTGTAATGGAGCCATGAGTCTTCAAGTTGTATCCATTGTGCCATGAAACCAAGATTCTAATGAAAAACATGGAAGTCTCAGAGATTCAGCTTCTTCTAGTTCTCAACTAGCAAAACAGCTCCAGCGGATCCTTGAAGATCCCAGTATGGCAAATACGATGATGATGATTCTGCACACAACATTGAAGACAATTTGCATATTTATCAAATGAAACTAGTTTTATTTTTAAACGCAACTATTTCTCTGAACAAAACAGTCATGGATAGCACACAGAAAGATGAGAATGTTGCATCAGAAGGACACTTATGATTGTAGCTCTGTAGTTGCTAAATGGCCCTGAGGACCATCTTCACTGTTGTTCAATTGCCAGTCAAAGCCGAACTGATTTAATTATCAGCTGTATACCTAAATATAGAACATTTAGACTTCTTGATCCATCCTTGCCAGCCTCCATTTTAAGTACTCACTGCAATTTAATGAATGTGGTTTGGACTGGGTATCAATTTCATAAAATTAATGGAATATGTTCCCAATGCTCAGGCTTGAACAAGAAAGTTGCCTTCCTGCAGGATGAAACAGGTCAGCAGTTTTCAGGAGGACAAAGAGATACTCCACAGTAAGTGGAAATCAGTCCTTTGCAAGCCCAGGAGAAGTTAGAATGCTCATAGGACCCCCATCTGCAAGTGTTGTTCTGAAATCTAACTCATTCCAGTCGCACAAGTGATTTTATTTAAGTTGCTTCTTTCTTGATGTTTGGGGTCAGGTGATGCACAGGACAAATAGGTGGGGTGAAATCCCATTTGAATACCTCAGCAACAGACTGCAATTTCTGAAGATTTATCAATAAGATTTATTTTATAATAAATATGGTAAAATAACTCCAATGTGTAATTAAATGTACAGAAATACTGTTAAATATACTGTGAGATTGGCAAAATCTAGTTTAGTTTAGGCATATTTAATGAAGATGACAGTAAATAAATATCATGAATGATCTACTACTCTCTACCCAGTGTAAAATATAGGCAGAGTCTAATGGCTAGTATCAAATGTTCCTATTGTGGTTTTATCCTATTATAATGTGTGATTGGATTCAGTAAGATCTTAAATAAACGCAAAGCTTCTGGTTTATTTTTCTATTTACACTATGTAATTTGGGCTTGAGAAAAATGAGCACAGTCAGAAGATTATAGATTTCAAAGATAGGCAGATATTATCTAGGAAAGATATACATAAGAATCTGACATCAAAATACATTCTGTAAAATCAGATACCTCATTAAATGAGGGCTATGTTTCCACTTCAATTATTTCAGTTAATGGTAATGGTGACCTCATCCTTAATAGTTTTATCTTATTCGTTATTAGGCACTGAAGTTGTGCTCAACTATTTGTCACTGCATTCCATATTGTAGTTTGCACGTAAGTTCTGGCACTTTGACATTATGAAACCAGTGCAGGTAGATTATTAGAACATTGAGAAGCTTTTCAGCAATGTTTCATAATCTTTCTTGTAGCTTTTCAACAATTCCAACTTGCATCTGGCCAAGATATTGTGGATGTAATCACAGACTGCTATGATGGACACTTCCAGCAATTACTCATTGCAATTAGTGAGTGAATTATATTTATTAATTTACTAAATTGCTAAATTAAGGTTGCATTTTTAAAATTCTACTTGAAAATGTGTTAAACTCAAATTTAAAGTAACCCAGTCATGTAACTTGTGGTGATTTTTAAAATTTACTATTCTTAGAAGACAAAAAAACGATTCAGCAACAAAGCTCTTCTCAACAATAGTCAAATAGAAATTTTTTATGGCTTTTTTTTGTTGTCACCAGCATTAATTTGTAACCTTTTGTTTGACTTCTCAAAGTTCTGTGTGTCAGGGACAAAGCTTCCTATTTCGCATACAAGCTCAACAGTGCAATATATGTAAGTATTTTACATCTTTCTAAACTGCATTTTTGTGATATTACAGGTATTTTAAACATAGAATTGATTTGGCTGCATATTCAGCAGTGACTTCTATCTGAAATGTCAAAGTATTTCCAGTAACACCACCATTTTCCACAGGGAATAGATCCATACGTAAAATCTAACTTGAAGTAGATATCACTATAAGAATTGAATGATGAATTATTATTTTGCTGTAAATAACGTCATGTAAAATTAACCATTTTAAAAGCAGACTGATTACTGTTTTAGAACAGAAGGAATTTTCTTTTTTTCCTGCCTGTATGTTACAGTAAAACTGAATGCAGATACTCTGCAGACACTAGTGACCTCTACTGATATCAAATCAGAACATATTTTATGAAATTCAGTGCTGAAAAGTGTAAGGTGATACACTCTGGCAAGGTGAATGAGGAGAGATAATGCAAGTTGAAAGGTACAGATTCCAAGGAGGTGCAAGAACAGAGAGATACCATGAACATAGAACACAGAACAGTACAGGCCCCCAGATGTTGTGCCGACCTATTATCCTACTAAGATCAATCTACCCTGCATACCCTACATTTTGCTATCCTCCATGTGCCTATCCAAGAGTCGCTTAAAAGTCGCTAAAGTATCTGACTCCACTACCACTGCTGGCAGCACATTCCACACGCCCACCACTCTCTGTATGAAGAACCTACCTCTGTCATCTCCCCTATACTTTCCTCCAATCACCTTAAAATTATGCCCCCTCATAATAGTCATTTCCACCCTGGGAAAAAGTCTCTTACTATCCACTCTATCTATGCTTCTCATTATCTTGTACACCTCTAGCGTCACGTCTCATCCTTCTTTGCTCCAATGAAAAAAGCCCTAGCTACCTCAACTTTTCCTCATAAGACCTTCAGTCCAGGCAGCATCCTGGTAAATCTCCTCTGCACCCTCTCTAAAGCTTCCTCATCCTTCCTGTAATGAGGTGACCAGAACTGAACACAATGTTCCAAGTGTGGTCTAACCAGGGTTTTATAGAGCTGCAGCATAACCTCGCGGCTCTTATACTGATTTCCCCCTTCCAATACGCCATACGCCTTCTTGACACCCCAATCAACTTGGGTAGCAACTTTGAGGGATCTATGGACGTGGACCCTAAGATCCCTCTGTTCCTCCACACTGCTGAGAATCCTGCCATTAACTCTGTATTCTGCATTCAAATTCGACCTTCCAAAATGAATCACTTCATACTTTTCCATGTTGAATTCCATCTGCCACTTCTTTGCCCAGCTCTGCATCCTGTCAATGTCCCGCTGAAACCTACAACAGCCCTCCACACTATCCACAACTCCACCGACCTTCGCGAAATCACCAAACTTACTAACCCACCTTTCCACTTCCTCAGCCAAGTCATTTATAAAGACTATGAAGTTGGCAGGAAATGGTAACAAACCAGTTAACAAAGTATATGGGATCTTGGACTTGATAATTAGAGACACAGGCCTGTTTCTTGGAAGGTGACAGAGATCTAGTCTCATATCGCCCCTATTCAGGGTAGGACCCAAGATTCTACCCACAGAATACAAAAACCAAGACCTTATGCTAACCCTACATAAAACATTGATTCAGCCCAGCTGGTGTATTCTGTCCAATACTGTTGCATCAATCTTTAGGAACGATGTGAAAGATTTAGCGAGTGCTCAGAAGATATTTACTAAAATACGTCTTGGATTGTGATTACAGTTATGTGGATAGGCTGAAGTTGGAGTCCTTTGAGCACAGAAAGATGAGAGGAGATTTGATGAATGGGTATTTTAAAATCATAAATATTTAGATAATATGAAAGATCTAAAAATGTCTCTACTGAAGATTTGTGGCCAGACGGCACTAGCTTACAGTAAATCACTAAAGAATTAGAGGAGTCATGAGGAAACTTTCTTTATGCAATGAGCATTTAGCATTAGAAATGCAGCATCTGCTATGTCGGTGCATACAGAATCAATAATAGACTTCAAAAGGGGATTCAATAAAGATTTGAAAGAGAAATTATTGCAGGGACATGAGGAAAGAACTGGCGAGTCAGACTAACTGGAATATTATTTGAATGACCTCGTCCAAACTGGATGGCCCGAAAGGTCACATTTTCAGCTGTATTATTTGATACTTCTATTATAGATACTGATGGCAAAGCATGTCAAACATAAAGACAGGTTTTAAAATACCTGGAATGAGATTTGTGGAGTGTTTGAAGACCTTGGTGAAGATAAGACTACCAGGTCTGGATTTTGCACAGACAATGATTACTATTATGATGGAGTAAATTAGACCACAATTTGGGAATAAGCAAGTACACAAATATAAGTGAAAATTCTAAAGCTGCTTTCCAAATTTACCAAGTTCCTCTGCAAGGTGTGTTATAATACATTGCAACAGACATGGGGTCCAAATTTTCGCCATGATGAAAATGCTGGAAGAAGTCGGAATCCTAAGTCTACCTCAAACTCACCATCTCTAATTTCAGTGGTGGTGGGATTAGGGGCAGTCTGAAGTTAGTATAAGCACGGATCCTGGAGGCAGCTGGCCCTTTAAACAAGCAGCTGCTTCATTCAATCTTGATTTTGGAGTCCACGGAGAGTACAACCTGGAGTGTGGAAATTAGAACAGGTAAAAGCAGGTCTGTTCTTAGTGCAGTTCTTTTAGTTATCCATTGTACCTCTCTGGAGAGCTGGGATACCCCTTTGGATCTGGTCCTGGATCACTTTTGGAGGAAATACCTACCCTTGGGTGTACATGAAAACCCTGTGGGAGAGAAAAGGCACCCATTAGGATTATGAATTGTAGGCATGCTTTTACATTTAAAGAAATAATGTTTGTGGGACATGGTTTTGCTGGCAAGGCCAGAACTTATCGCACATCTTTAATTGCCTAGGAGAAGGTGCTGGCTTCTTGATACTTCAGCTCTTGGGTTGTAAGTATCAACTTCTCATTCTTCCACCCACTGGATAGAAACAAAATGCCAAGAATTCCCAACATAAAAGTCTGTTTTATGTTTTTTGTTAGATTGTATTCAAATTTTATTCACAGATTTCGTATCAGTTTCTTAGTCGTCTTTTGTTGCATTATATAATCCTCACTAACCTCAGAATTACTGCTATTTCTGGCAACTTTACAGGCCTTTTCTCTTAATCTTATACAGTCCTGAACTTTCTTTGTCGGCTACGGTTGACTGACCTTTTATTGAGCTTTTGCATCTTGAAGGACAGGCACATATTGTACATCCCGTTGTGAGCCTGCTATATTCACCAGGAAGAATTCATTTTGTCCCCTCTTTGTTCTCTTCTGTCAGCACATTTGTAGAGTGCTGTGGCCTATGTTTAATTTTCTCTGCTTCTACTGTAACTGTGACATAGTCTCTGCCTTGCCATTCACACACGTCTATAAAACTGGCTGGGCTCCTCAAATTCATTGATCATATCCTTCCTCCTTGTGCACTTGCCATTGACGCAGTTTGAGTCCTCATTTCTTCCACATAACTGTAAGTCTTCCGATGGAAGATACCATATTACTGTGGATGCATGCTTTTACTGGAAGTTTGGCTGGTTTCCTACAATGGGCTTTTCCCTTTTTTCAAATTTTTTTTCTAATTTTTCCATGGGCTCCACCTCTCCCCAGTACGTATGGCCACTGAGCATCTGTAAAAGCATGGGTCTGGCAGGCCTCAAGTAAGATGACCTCCCTTAACGTCCCCTGTACCATTGCCATTACAGAAACATACCTGCATTGTGACCAGGGTTGGGTGCTGAATATTCAATGATATTTGACAATTAGGAAGGACAGACAAGACAGAAAAGGAGGTGGCAATGCGCTGGTAATAAGAAATGGGATATGTACATTCGCAAGGAAGGATCTCAGATCAGAAGACGAATGCATGGAATCTGTTTAGGTGGAAGTGAGAAACAGCAAGGGGCAGCAAACATTGATTAGAGTTATTTGTAGGCCACCATGTAGTAGTGATAGTGTGTTGCATGGTATTAATCAGGCAATGAAAGAAGCATGTAACATGTGTGACATAGTTATCATGAATGACTTTAATCTGCATATAAACTGGCTAAATCAACTGAGCAACTAAACTGTGAAGCATGAGTTTCTGGAGTGTGTTACTAATGGGTTTCTAGCACAGTGTGTTGAGGATCCAACTGAGGACATGTTATTTTATATCTAGTATTATGTAATGAAAAGGGGCCAATTAACAATCTTGTTGTAAAAGAACATTTACAGCTTAGTAACCACAATATGGTAGAATTTTACATTACATTTGGAAGTAAGGTAGTTCATTCTGAAGGAAGGATATTAAATATGAAGAAGGTAAATTAGGAAGGCATAAGGCATAAATTGGCCAAGGTGGATTGGGAAAATACATGAAAAGGTATAAAAATACATTAAAAAAAACATGGCTTTTGGCAACTATACATTTCTTTAAGGTGCAAAAACTTAAAAAAGACCAGTCAACCATGGAGGACAAAGAAAGTTCAAAACTGTGTAGGAATAAAAGAAAAGGCCTGTGAAATTGCCAGAAACAACAATAATTCTGAGGTTTGGGATGATTATACACTATGACAAAAAGAGGACCAAGAAACTGACAAACAAAACATGGTGAATAATACTGGTGAATAAAATATGAATGCAATCTCACAAAAAACATAAAACAGACTGTAAAACCTTCCATAGGCAAATAAATAGGAAACATTTGGCTAAAACAAATGTGGGACCATTAGAGACATAATGGTAAATAGAGAAATGGAAGAGAAGCTAAATAATTACACTGTATCTGTTTCACTGCGGAAAATAACAGAAACCTCCCATAACTAGCGATCCAAGTGATTTGAGAGAATAAAGAGTTGAAGAAAATTAGCATCAATAAGAACGTTGTTGTGGAAAAATTAACGAGACTGAAAATTGATAAGTTCCCAGGATCAACATTCCCCCTAAGCTGCACGACTGCCACTCCAAGGTTCCAAGGTTGCTTGCACAGTGATCGACATTGGCACGCTGACTGCAGCATCAACTTCTGTTTAAAAAAAGTCACTGACCCACACAGACCTCAGAAGCCTGTGCAGCTAGGAAGAAAATTAGAGGGAGTGCCACCCACGTGATAGTCTCCATCCTAGAGTATTGAAGGAGGTGGCTGTAGAGATAGTTGATACACTGGTGACTATATTCCAAACTTCTACAAATTTTGGAAGGATTCTCGAGGATTGAAATGTAATAAATTTCACCCCACTACTCAGGAAGCAAGCGAGAGAGAAAACAGGGAGCTTTAGACCTATTATCCTTACATCAACAGTTGACAAAATTATAGAATCTATTATAATGGATTAGATAAATCAGATAAACTTGTTGATAGTGATCTGACTGGCTGTATTCAGCATAGATTTGAATGTACTTTACAAGCTTGCTGGAGATTTTTTTGAAGATGTTAGTCATAAAGTTGATAAAGCAGGCCTATATACAGATTTTTAGAATATTTTTGATACAACGACTCTCAGGAGGCTGTTTAGAATGATTAAAGCACATGCAATAGGCGGTAATGGACTGGCATGGAGTAATGATTGGCTAACAGTTAGAAAACAAGAATGGAAATAAATGTGTCATTTTTGTGCTGGCAGGCTGTGACTAGTGGGATACCGGAGGAATCAGTACTTGGGCACCAGCTTTTCAAAATATATATCAATGATTTGGATGTAGAGACAAAAGCATTATTTCTAAATTAGCAGATGATACAAAGCTAAGCAGGAAAGTGTATTGTGAGGAAGATGTAAAGTGTCTTCAAGAAAATTTAGACAAGCTTAGTGACTTGACAAGAATATGGTTGATGGTACATAATATGGAAAATAGAAGGTTAATACTTTGGTAGGAGAAACAGATGTGCAGAGAATTTCTTAAAAGGTAAGTGTTTGGAAAGTGTGGATTTGCAAAGGAAACCAGGGTCTCCTCATCAATAAGTCACTGAAAGATAACCTGCAGATATCACAAGCTATTCAGAAGGCCGATTACAAGTTAGTCTTTATTGCAAGAGGATTGAGTACAATTTGCTTCAATTGTATAGGAATCTAGTTAGACTACACCTAGAGTACAGTGTGTAGGTTTGGTCTCCACATCTAAAGAAAGATAATATGCGATAGAGGCAGCGTGATGAGGTTCACTAGATTTGTTCTCAGGTTGGTGGGATTGTCTTATTAAAAGACACAGAGAAAACTGGACCTGTGTTGTCTAGGATTTTGTAGAACGAGAGATGATTGCGTTGCAACTTACAAAATACTTGAAGGGATAAGATGCAGGTAAAATATTTGTTTCCCTTGGTTGCTGAGTCTAGAATCAGGAGGCACAATTTAGGACCAAGATGAGAAGAAACTTTGTTATTCATAAGGTTTGGAAGGTTTGAACCTTTTGGAAGTCTGATAAATTTCTGATTATCAAGGGCATACATGGGTAAAGGGACAGGGTGGGTAAAAACTATTGAAGTGTTTGATTAGCCATAATCATGTTGAATAGGGAGGCTAAATAGCCGACTCCTGTTCTTATGTTAGGTTCAGTAAAGCTTTGTGCTGTTCACTTAAAGCATATGGTAGCAATGATGGCAAAGGCAGGAGGCATGATTACTATCTGCATAATCACGTAAAAGGAGTGATAAGAAGATGATAGGTCATTTTACATCTCCTGATTTCTATTTCTATTGTCCCAATCAGATGAGAGCAGATCTGAAATTTACCATAACTTCTTCAATGGCTGGATTTCAATAAATACATGTAAATATCATAAAAGGTATTAGAATGATTATTTCCATCCATCTGAAGCAGAGTTATGGTATATTTTTAATTGTTGCATATACATCAGAATTATGCAATGGCTTCAGAGTCTAATACCAGTAATTAGATTAAAATAGGGAAGTCTGTCTATAGGCAGAGTATTCTGTTTTCATTGGTAGTGAGCCTGGAGACAGGAAGAGTAAGTAATTAAGTGGGTTGATGACATATCTGAAAATGGCAAAGAATACATCGGAGGAATGATAAGACACCTTCCTGTCTTGGCCAGAATTAAGTTTTGGACAGGAAGCTTCATGGTCAACCTTCCTACTAAAAACTGAGATCCCCAAGTGACCAATTAAGGAGTCTATGTCCCAAGCACCAATATTAATCATGCTACAACCTTGTGGACCCTGGTCACCTTGGGTGTTTCTTGATCAAAGACAATCATTGTCTGTGCAAGGAACTGGACATTGAGAGCCAACTCCTCCTTCTGATTTGCATGCCCCCTTTCCCCATGAACCCCAACCACCAAACCCTCCCATGCCCCAATGCTTAACTATGGCCTCTGTCCTTCACAATCATTGGGCTCCAGAGGTTGTCCTTCTGGCAACAGCATGATCTCCTCGGGAGTTTTTGAGCTCTGAATAACAGGCAGCTCTCGTTGGCAAGCTTGGGATCTTGATTCCAGGGTCAAGTCCACTGGTGGTCTTTCCATCGTGATTAGTTCATTGTTCACCTTCCCAAAAAGAGACATTGCAAGTTGCCAGCTACCAGGGGAGACCACAATGCCACAACCCCAAAATATTCCTGCTACTTCCAAAACTGAGATATCCTGGAGAGCTTGCAATAGGTTATGTGCTACCAGATGACAATAAGTTCTCCTCATGAATGCTAAGGCCTGATATAAGTACAAATCATCCCTCCTATACATTCTTTGTGGCATTTTTAATACCACATTCCACAAAATTCAGCTTGACTATTTTCAAATAATTATATGGTTTTACAATATAATGGCCAAAACAAAACAAAACTGTACCAGCACCGTGATGAATGTTTTGCAGAAGTCCATTAAATAACCCAGATTATCATCATTTTACTTAGGAATTTGGCTTTCACAACAAAACAGTTATAAGAATCTTGATTTCAAGAAGTGAACTGGATCTGATGAATATCAAAAGAAATTACAAGGAGCGATATGGGCATTCCCTACACCATGATATCAGGGTATGGCTTATTCATCTTTTATGTCACATCTAAATACATTGGAATCAAGCAATATCTAACAATCTGATTTCGTGTATTATTAATCATGAATCTGGCAGAATAACCCCGTTGGAATTTGAATAGTAATAATAGGCTACAAATAGAATAAGAAATTTTCCCATAAATCTTATTCTCAAATCTCAATACTTCCTTTTGCATATCTCTAAAATGGTATCACATCAGGGGAAAAACTTTTTTGCTGGTATCTTAATAACTTAAAAATACATCATAGTCAATGACTTACTTTTGAGATACAGAATCTGTTGTTATACAGGCAACAATGTCAACCCAATTTATCCACTTTGTGGACCTTCATGCGACAATGATAAGTAGCCAAGATAATTACTTTGGGTAATGTCCTTTAAGGAATGAATGCTTATATTATTTAATAGGAGGATAACCTTAGAATCTTTTGTATCCACCAAATCAAGCAAAAATGGCCTCAGTTTAACATCTTCGGGGAAAGACAACACCTCTGACAGTGCAGCATTCCTTCAATACTGCATTGAAGTGTTGGTTTATATTATGCACCAAAGTCAGTAGAGGATTGCTTAGACCCAGGAAGTTTTGATTCAGAGTCAGTTCCTATGAGACAAGTCTGAAGTAGTGGACATAAATGTCACATTATGTGGGACAGACCAGGAAAGTCCTGGTTGCTCCACAATCTGTACTGAAATGGATAATCTCATTCAGAAAGTTCAGTGAAGATTAGGCTTAAACTTTCTCCCTGAGATCTAAAGGAGCTCTCTCGTTCCTTTCAGCCTCATCAAGGAAAGGAAGCATTTACCTTTCTGGGAGTTTTCTGGCCCTGGGTATTTTTTTCAGCTAGGTTGATCTGGCAGAGAAGCTTAAAGAATATACTAGGCTGGCCTCCAGTTAAAACAATAGAGAGGGCCCCTGGGGTATTCTCAGAACCTGATGAGCATAGTTTAAGGAGAGTATTCGCTTCCAGTGCGTCTTCCACTTGCCTGTTCGAAAGACCAGATCAAGAGCAGACCCTCCATTAAAATAACAGAATGTGTGCAGATAACTCCCACAAGGCATCTAACTGCCTCCAGCATGGTTTTCATCAGGCAAACAAGGTTAAATCAGCACTAAACTGTTTTCAACTTTACTAACACCTGGAAGAGTAAGCTTTTTACAAAAAGGTGATTAATAAAAGCAAAATTTGATTTTACTTCTGATTTTATAGCCACAGTCAACATATCCACTTGAATGATTAAAAAAAAATACAAAAGATTAAAAGAAAACTTACAAAGGGTTAAAGGGATAGATTGTTTCTGCATGACACTCATCACGTCCACATCTTGCACATGCAAAAAAAAAGTTGAACCCTTAAGATGAGCTGCTGACATTTATGTTTACATATTAAGAATTTACATATTAAGAATATACATATATAAGAATTTACACATGAACATTAACGGGACTATAATTTGCATACTTAAGATTTATTTTGATCTCTTGCAGCAATATGCATCAGGACACTATGAGGCAGCTCTCTCGGCAATTTGTACTGGTGATGCTGAAGATTATTAAATGAAGAAAGACAGTAAAAGTTCTGAAATCTCAAAATCCAAGCCCACTTCAATCTTTAATAGAGATTGAAGAGTCAAATTATTTTCTTAGAACATTACAATAAACTACACAAGGCTAATCAGTTATAATAGACATTCTTTTGTTGATCAATAGAGCATCTAGAAAGAGAAAAGTACTCCAACACATTTTAAAATTGTACCTTAAGATGCAATTGCTTAGTTAATTGAGAATAATTCTCATACTGCAACATAAGATCAGCAGTAACATTTCAACATTCACTGCTATGATCAATTTAGTGTGTGCCATCTATGAGATGCGCTACAAGAATTCACCAAGGCTCCCTACACAGCACCTTCCAAACCCACAACCTCCACCACCAAGAAGAGCAAGGTCAGCAGATACATAGGGACACAATCACCTGCAAGTCCCACTTTAAGCCACACACCATCCTGATTTGCAACTATATTACTGCTCCTTCACTACTACTGTATCAAAATCTTGGGAATTCATCCGTAAAAGCCATGTGAATGTGCATAAACTACATGGCCTGCAGCAGTTCAAGATGCCAGCTCAGCTTCTCAAGGACAATATGGATGAGCAATAAATATTGACCTAGCCAGCAACATCTATCCATAAGTAGTGAATGAATACAAAAAAAACAATGGCTTATAATACAATGGCTTAAGATATTGTAGCAATTTTTAAAATGTGTAACATTTTTAAAATTGCAATATCAAAGAAACTGTAATGAAAATTTCCCTGTTCTTATCTCAAATGTGGCCACAGAATTCTTAATGAATGTAAGGGTTCCGGATTATTCATTCTGAACAACAGAGTATATTACCAAAAGGTTCTGAAATCTGCTACAGTGCCTTGATTGCCTTTCTTTTTTGCGCTGGTACCTTTGTAGATCTAGTTACTTAGCTGTTTTAACAAAAACAATGTAATGGCTGCAACAAAGTAAAAAACAATTGCTCTTCAATTGCTTGCAAGACATTTCTTTGCTGTTCTGCAAATAAATTATAAAAACTTTATATTGTAAATGCAAAACATTTTGCATAAAAGATTCAGTAACATTTATGTCATCAACCAATTATGAATCAAGAAAATATCCGTCATTGATGGAGTACAATGACCAGGTTCGTTTTGTAGACTCTAAGATTAAGGATATCAGGAGAAATATCTTTACTGAGGAGGTGTTAGAACATGGAGTGCCATGAAGAGTGGTTGAAATAGAGATTTTAGGGAAGTTATTAAGAAGAAGGGGAAGATAAAAGACTAAAGGGAAAGAACAGGAGGTTTTGATTTTGATTGCTTCAGCAAAGAGCTGTCATAGGGTGATAGCTTCCTTCTGTGCTGGTAAATTTCTATGTTTCTGTGTGATTCATTTCAATTCTGGAAGTTGCACATCTGCAGAAAATACTTCAATTTTCCTGCTTAGCTGCTCAGCAAAGACAGAAACTTCATAATAATAAAACCTCCACTTTGTTAAGTACTTTTTGTGGATTTAAAAGCACAATACTTTTGAGATCATGTAGCTAATCTAGTTGGTTAGTTTCCAGATTCAGAAGGCTTGGAACTTTGCATCTTTCCTGAGTGATACTGCGGTGTAGATTAAAGAGAGACCCACACACATCTTTGAGCGGCTCCAGATACTTGTTAATTAGTTAGGTTTAGAAATATGCGGAAGCATAACAAGGTGTTGTCTGACTGAAGGAAAGTCATCTGTCGGGTGCCAGGATTAGTAAAGATCATTTAAAAGTAGTACTACCATCACAAAGTATTATGCCAAGTTGCATTGTGAAATATATTTATTTTATCCGAAGTATCTTAAAACTGAGAATAGACTATTTCAATTAGGCATTGTGCTGAATGAGACTAACATATGCTCAACTGCAGGAAGCCATGACTGACTTACACCTTGTGAACAGAGAGGGAACTATAACAAACTACTCAGATCTTGTAATATGCTACACTCCCTCCCCACTTAATAAAATTATGCATTAAAATGTAAAATAGTGCGTGTATATAATATCCAGAATACAATGATTAAACTAACATCAACAAAATCTGACTTTTAACAGTCTGAGTTGCACATTTCTTTTTACTGTAACCGCAATCAAAGCATATGTGATCAATATGGCCAAAGTGATTTACATGCAAACATTTGTTTAACGTAACATCAATGTGTGTTCAACAACAAAAAAAAAATCACAATTTGTCAAAAACTAATGAAGAAAACAACTGAGATAACAAGGTGTAGAACTGGATGAACACAGCAGGCCAAGCAGCATCAGAGGAGCAGGAAAGCTGACGTTTCGAGTCGAGACCCTT